ATATGCTGTAGCCTATTTTAAAAATCAAAATGATAGCTATGTCTATCCTTTAAGGTATTGAAAATGTAGATGCTTCATAGTGATGCAGAAAGCAAACCAGAAGAGCTTGATTAACTTGTTTATTATTTTAAATGATTACTTGTTGACTTAATTTCAGCCATCAAATAAATGTTAGATAGGTATTTGAAGTCTTCTGGAGAAAAGTAAGAAGGGAGGGTTTAGTCAAGGTACATTTGAGTTTTTATCTGAGACACACTTTTCTAAGAATGCATGCATATTCAATATTCAAAGCTCAAGTATTCTCAATGTCAAACTTAAGATTTTTATAAAAGTGTATATCCTTTCACAGACAAAGGTAGATTTATGTATTGCACAGATTTGTGTCGCCTACATAACTAAAAATTTCAGGATGATTCCTGGAGTTATTCGATTGTTTTCAAAATGTTAGCGTTGCAGGTTTTTTGGCGTATATAGTTTCTTGTTGACTCAATTGACTTTTTTTAAAAGTGGAACACACTGGTATGTCAGATATTTAGTACCACAGTCACATGCTGAAATTCATTAGTCAAATATAGCCTCAGTAGCCTATATTATGATTTCTACTTAGGAAAACCTGTACCTTTTCTAAGAAATAGTGACTACATCTTATTCATCTATGCCTGCAGTCTTACAGACTCTGGGATTCTCTTGATCTTAATATTCATTCAGTTTTCATTTTCTATTTGCTTCACCCATTTTACAGTTTAAACAAATATATTAAAATTATTTGAATAAGTAAGCAATGTACATGTATTGTTCTTGACATTTCAATTTTAGTATATGAGGTGTCTAAGTATATCCATTAGGTAAAATAACCTCATCAGTCATTAGAGACCAAAAGTTGAATTAAGCTATAGAAAATGTTGATTTATGAAAGCAGCCCAGTATCTGTCAGCTTTCCATGACCTTTATGTTTGACTATAGTAGAACAAACATAGTATATATATCCCTGATCTATCTCTATCTTATAAAGTGCCAATGACTAAGGGCAAACAAGTATTATATTCATATACTTGGTTGTTTCCTCCTCCATGTAATGCTGTGGGCCTGTTTTGCAAAATTTGATGTAACTTCTTCAGCAAAAGTATTAGCTGGGCAGAGCTATAATTTTTTCTCATTTGGAAAAACTTATGTCATTGCAAACTGCCATCTGCAGGAAGTAAACACAAAATGTTTTGCTATTTACTGTCATTCATGCTTTCTTCAAATTGGTGTATAGAGTCTATATAGGTAAAATATTTGGCTTAGGATGTAAGTTTAGCCACACCTCTAGGTCAGGAGGCCGCATTTGTTCTATAGGTTATTTTTAAATCCAAGGATAAGACTGGATGGTAATAGTGGTTGGATGAACTCAGCATTTACTGAAAAGGTTTCGAAATGGCAAGATCAGGATGTGATTTTAGGATATCATAGAGAGAAAGAGAAAATAGTGCTGAATAAGAACAGCAAGACAAAGAACAGATAATGTGGGTAAATCAGGTGACTAGCTAAGTTAAGATCAAGTTTGAGAGAAGTGCCCTCAACTCTCAGAGGCTACTCAGGACTTTAAGATTGTTTATAGGTTCAAGGTTCACAGATGAGCAGGTTGTACACAGTTGCCAAATTGGGCAATACCATGATGTTCTATTGTAATTTAGGTTTTTCTATGAATTTTTCAATGTTAATTTTTATTGTCACTTTTCTAAACTACTTTTTTTACCCAAACCACTTATAGTACACTTAATGGAGTTTAGTTATACAAAACCACCTTTAGTAAGAGTTTTGAAACCTGGAGCCACTAAGAGATAAGTTCTATGGTTAAATGCTTGAAATAGAAGCCAATAGGCCAGACCTGGAGGCTCATGCCTGTAATCCCAGCACTTTTAGAGGCCGAGGCAGGCGGATCACAAAGTTGAGATCAAGACCATCCTGGCCAACATGGTAAAACCCATCTCTACTAAAAATACAAAAATTAGCTGGGTATGGTGGTGCATGGCTATAATCCCAGCTCCTTGGGAGACTGAGGCAGGAGAATCGCTTGAACTCGGGAGGTGAGATTGAGTCACTGTATTATTTTAGCTTGGTGACAGAGGGAGACTTTGTCTCAAAACAAAAAAAGAAATAGACCAATACAGTAGTTTTTTATGAAAATATTGAATTTCATTATCTTATCTGTGAGAAACCTTATATTAAAATTGAAATAGTGTGCATAATCTGGCATTTGTTAATAAATATTTTATAGTACTTATACATTAAATATTCTATAAATTATTAAACATTGAATGTTTATACAAATATTATATAATGAGGAATAAAAATGAAAATATTCCAAATTATTGAGAATAAATTTTGTTATTCTTTTCCAAACTATTAAAATAATCAATAATACTTTTTGAGTTGTTTAAGTTCCTTATACACTCTTGATATTAAACTTTGTTGGATGATAGCTGTTGAATATTTTCTTGTATCCTGTAGGTTGTCTGTTTACTCTGCTGATAGTTTCCCTTGATGTACAGAACCTCCTTGGTTTAATTAGGTATCACCTGTCAGTTTTTGTTTGTTGCAATTGCTTTTGAGGACTAAGTCAAAACTCTTTGCCAAGGCTGATATCAAGAAGAGTATTTCCTAGGTTTTCTTCTAGGATTCTTGTAGTCAGAGGTCTTACACTTAAATCTTTAACTTGAGTTAATTTTTGTATATGGTGAAAGGTAGGGGTCCAATTTCATTCTTCTACATATGGCTAGCCAGCAAACCCAGTGCCCAGTGCCTTTTTATTAAAGAGGGAGTCCTTTCCTTATTGCTTAATTTTGTCACTGTTGCCAAAGATTAGTTGGCTGTAGATAAGCAGCTGTATTTCTGGATTTTTCATCTCGTTCCATTGGTCTGTGTGTCTGTTTTTGTGCCAATACCATGCTTTTCTGGTTACTGTAGTCTTGTAGTATAATTTGAAGCCAGGTAGTGTGATGCCTCTAGCTTTGTTGTGGTCGTTGTTGTTTGCTGAGCATTACTTTGGCTATTCAGCCTCTTTTTTGGTTTCATGTGAATTTTAGAATAGTTGTCCTCTAATTCTGTGAAAAATGATGCTGATAGTTTGGTAGGGATAGCACTGAATCTGTAGATTGCTCTATGCAGTATGGCCATTTCAACCATACTGATTCTTCCAATCCATCAGAATAGAATGTTTTTTATTTGTATCATCTATGATTTCCCTCCGCAGGATCTCCTGGTAGAGATCTTCACCTTGTAGAGAAATCTTTCACCTCCTTCGTTAGATGTATTTCTAGGTGTTCTGGTTTTATTGTGTGTGGGTATTCTAAATTAGGTTATGTTCTTAATTTGGCTCTCAGCTTGAATCTATATGTGTATAGAAATTCTACTAATTTTTAGGCATTGATTTTGTATCTTGAAAATCAATTGAAATCATCTAACTGTTGTAGGAGCTTTTCAGCAGTCTTTAGGATTTTCCAGGTGTAGAATCAGTCAGTGATGAGAAAACCTTTGACAGCTACTTTTCCTATTTTGATGCCTTTTATTTCTTTCTATTTCCTTATTGCTCTTGCTAAGACTTCCAGTAATATGTTGAATAGGAGTGGTGAGAGTAAGCATCCTGTCTTTTTGTTGTTCTTCCAGCTTTTGTTCATTCAGTAGGATGTTTTGGGTTTGTCATATATGACTCTTATTTGACAAATGTTCCTCTGATGCCAAGTTTGTTGAGGGTTTTAATCACTGATAACCTCATTAAAAAGTGGACAAAGGCTATAAACAGGTACTTCGCAAAAGAAGACATACGGGAAGCCAACAAACATAAAAAATACTCCGTATCACTAATCATCATAGAAATGAAAATCAAAGCCACAATGAGATATCATCTCACACCAGTCATGGCTACTGAAAAGTCAAAAATAACAGATGCTGTAAAGAAAAGGGAAAGCTTATACACCCTTAGAAGGAGTGTAAATTAGTTCAGCCACTGTGGAAAGTTTAGAGATTTCTCAAATAACTTAAAACAAAATTACCATTTGACCCTGCAATCCCATTACCTTGTAAATATCTGAAGGAAAACGAATCATGCTACCAAAAAGACAGTATGTGTTTGAAATATTTTGAGCTCCTCTATAACTCACTCATATGTTCATTGCAGAATTATTAACAATAGAAAAGATATGAATTCAACCGAAGTGCTCATTAATGCTAGATTGGATTTTTAAAATGTGGTATTTATATACTATGGAATACTACACAGCCCTAAAAAATAATGGAATCATGTCTGCTGCTGCAAAACTGATCTAAGTCATTATCCTAAGTGAATTAAGGGAGGGATAGCAAACCAAATGCTGCATGTTCCCACTTATAAGTAAGAGCTAAATATTGGGTACACATAGACATTAAGAGGGCAATAATAGACACTGGAGACTACTAGAGGGGGAAGGGAGCAGGGGCAGGAGCTGACAAAGGAGCTATTGGATACTATGCTCACTACCTGACTGATGGGGTAATTTACACCCCAAACTTCAGCATCACACAATAAGCCATGAACAAACCTGCACATGTACTGCTTATATCTAAAACAAATACTGAAGTTATAAAAAATCAACAACATTTTGATATGCTTGATAAAAGCCCAATATTATTTTTAACATTGAACTTTTTTTTTCATTAACCATTTTTCCAGCAAGTTTCAATTCCTTTCAAATATTTGACACATCTCAGAATAAATAGTACAGGCTTAGAAAATGATTTCAAAAGTGCTATTGTCTTTCATCACCTGCATACATTTGGAGAGGAGTGAGAGAACCCATATAGGTTTGTAAAACCCATATACTTAATTATAAAATCCAGTTTGTCTCTAAGTAAATTGATGTTACTGGTGCCCTATTTAGAATACGTGCATTGTAAGTAATCAAAATTTATGTTTTGTCTAAGCAATTAAATGATTATTAGAGGTGGCATGTTCATAATGACTTTTCTGGTTTTCTTTGAAGGATCCTCTGTTTCACCTGGAATCAACCATATCTGAGAGAGGAAGAGGCAAATGTCCTTATGACTCCAGCTCCTCATTCGTCTCCACTTTAATTGGTAATTATCATTGCCACTGACATCAGGTGATCGTCATAATAATTTTAAAACATACATTTTAACTTCGGTTACATTCTTTTCAGCATTTCTTTATGTACTCTGCCTAGTCGTATCTATTTTCTGGTGCTCAAAGCAAAGCTATTAAATTTCAAGCCATGTTAACTTGAGCAATTTGACTCTAAAATAAGTGCAGATGCCATAAAGTATATGTGTCTCACTCAGAAAACAAATTGTCATTTAATATTTCATATATTTGGTGTTATTTGATGATTCAAAATGCAATTATTTGAAGGCTTTATACAATTTTTGCCAAAATGAAACTATTTTAATATATATGTTAATTCTTCATTTTTCAATTACTTTGTGACCTCAGAGAATTTTAATATTCTTTATGGTACATTTCTGTGTTATTAGTAGAATTTGGCAGAAAGTAATCTCTTTTAAGAAATTTATTTATCTAAATTTCTGTTAATCTAGAGTGTAAACTAGAGGTTGAGCCACTCAAACTATCACTAAATGTACATGTTGAAATAATGCCAGGAGTTGATAAAGTTGGATCTGGAGTTCAATTCAGTTCAATTTAATTAGACAAAGTACCAACAATCTCACTTAAGACACAACTAAGTAATATTTTCGTACTGTTTGGGGTTAAAAATTGCAAACTTGGCAAACTGTTCAGCACTGTGACAGTAAAGACTGATGAATGAGTTCCTAAGCACGAAATTAAAAAGAGTAATCCCTGCCGGGCGTGCTGGCTCACGCCCGTAACCCCAGCACTTTGAGAGGCCAAGGCGGGGGAATCACGAGGTCAAGAAATCGAGACCATCCTGGTCAACGTGGTAAAACCCGGTCTCTATTAAAAATACAAAAAATTAGCTGGGCGTGGTAGCGCGTGCCTGTAATCCCAGCTACTCAGGAGGCTGAGTCAGGAGAATTGCCTGAACCCAGGAGAAGGAGGTTGCAGTGAGCCGAGATCCTGCCATTGCACTCCAGCCTGGGTAATAGGAGCGAAACTCCGTCTCAAAAAAAAAAAAAAAAAAAAAAAGAGCAATCCCGAACACCTAACATAGGTACTGATGGTAATGATTTTTTTCCTCAGTGTTGGGAGGTTCTGATGTGCAAGGTTCTATTGTTACATTTGTAATGTTTAGAGTTATATGGTAATATTAGATCATCTTTGTAGAAAATGAGATAGTACAAAATAAGATGTAGAGACTTCATATTCTAAATAAACCATTAAAACTTAAAACCCTCCCCTGATGATTGGACCATGTTATAATTGATTTAGAATTGATATAGCTGCTACTGTGTGTTCTTTAGAATCTCTGTTCCCTGAACTTATTCAAGACAGTTTATTTTGATGGTTCTTGCACTCTACTCCCTACACTCCCCTATCCCACATCTGGTTATCAGGTATATAAAAATAAAGCTTTTAAAAACATAAGTATTTATATAGCAAATGCCTCATGTTAACTCTAATTAACAGGAAAAGTTTGACTTACTTCAGCTTTTTAATTTGACAAGGCTATAATATGAGAATTATATAGTAATTAAGTTCTTCAGTGGCTTGAATAGTTACAATATTTCAAAAATTAATATTAAAGAAAAATATTATTTTGAGTTTCCCTACCAATTGTGTGTGTGTGTGTGTGTGTGTGTGTGTGTGTGTGTAAATAGAGTATTAAAAAAGGAAGATTTTTAATGTGGGAATATGGTTGCCTAAGTCAGGTTAGACTTAGTGGAAGTCACAACCTTGGAAATAACATTTTTGGGGGATGACAGATCCATAAATGCTGGAAACTCCAAAGCGATTGAAAGAATATAAATTAAAATGTATATATCTGATAGGCTCATACATCTTTTTCTAAAGTTGTGATTTTTTTCATAAATATTTTAATATATTTGAAAAAGAGACTTTTTTCTTTCTTGTGCCATGTAGTCTCTTGCAAAGACTAGATCTCCTATAAATACTAAATGTAATACTCACTGAGGTTCCTAAACAAATACAAAATCAATTTTGGAATGTTGTTTTCATAAGAATAATATAAAGGGAATTGGAAACTAAAAATTACACAGCATATACTGCTTCTATAGTGAAATCCTGAGAATATTAGAAGAAACATTATTTTTTTTACATTTCATTTAAATAGTTAAAAATAATTTCTATGACCACCTTGCCACTCACTACTCAGTCTCCCTGGAGCTTGTTTCTGCATGAAGCCAAGAATTTAAAAGTGGAATTTCTAAGAGGGGAAATATTACTGGAGGGACATTTTCAAGTGAGTTTCATTGAACTTCCAAATCAAATTATACTATCCTGAAATCTGAAGTGCTTGCCATCTGGGTGGCGGTTTCGCTTATTCAGAAGAGAAATCAAATCAAAAGAGCCCTCCAAGTTAAACACAAAAGTTATAGAATAATCCCTCCAAAGAGAAGAAATAAAAATATAATTCTTCACATTTATCCATTCACTTTCATCCCAGAGTACCTTGGAGAGATCATTCACTCACTGTGGAAATGCAGCAGCCACTGGATGGAAACCTGATAACCTATGTGAGCCAGAAACTCTTTAAAAGAGGGGAAGTAAAAATAATTCACCCAATTGAAAAAGCAGCAGGAATGTAGGCTGGAAAAATGGAGCTACCTGAGTTGGAATTTGGCAAGCTCGGTACAGCTTATTCTGACTGAGAAAGAATGCATTAATGTGGTATTTTGTGACCACACATGTTCTCTGCTGATGAGTTAAGACAGGACTCCAGCAAAAAATGACTATTGCTAGACTATTGCTACTTCTTAGTTAATTTTATGTCACACAATGTTTAATGTTTGTTCACATGAAGACAAATTTAATGATAAAACACTGAAACTGGTAGCATACTCATAAAGCTACTTGACCTCAAAAAAAGGTGCTTGCAAATTAGAGAATTTTCTTTGTGACTCCCTAGTTTCAGATGCAATTTTAATTCAGTTAACTTAAATTCAGTTGACTTAAGAGCATATGGAGAAGGGGTTAATAAAAAATGGAATAAATATTGAAGCTTATTTGATAGAAGACAAGTTCTAAAGCACATTTTTATTCAATTTCTAATGTAATTTAGAAATGAAATTTTGATAGCTTGTAATAATTCTATGTGACAAAGGATTTAAGGAGTAAAAGAAAGATTCTTACTGTACTATGTTGTATATGTTCAGGAACTAATCAAAATGAAATCATAATATTAAGTAGCCGTGAGCTTCCAATGGCTCTTTGTAGTAACACAATTAATTTTGGTAGCATCTTAACTCATATCTCAGGTGGAATATTTCTGCATTTTAGCCAAGTTTTCCTCCAATGTGATTGGTCCTACTGTATTTGAAGTGGTTTTAAGTAACTGTCTGAAGAAGACAAGGCATTATAACTTGATTTTAAAAGCAGCTTATTGAAACAATAAATTTTTCATTAAAATGAATTGCTGCATTGCTTATCCATGGCTTTCAAATCATCCAAATATAGTTAGTAATTATCTTGCTACTAAATTGTTAAGTTCAGTGGTTGGCCAAATAAAAATCTAGGAAATAGTGTTCTTTATGTCATATGTCATTTTGGCCAAGAAGAAGATATTTTTGCTGACTCTTTTTATCAATTATGTCTCATATAATACTGCAATATTCTAATTAAGTGGATAGTATCTTCAGTAACATTACAATCTACCATAGTTTCTCCTTTAAATTCTATTGCCTTTTTTTTTTTTTTAATTTTATTCTGACCCACACTTGTATTACCAGTTCCAGGTATAATCTTACCATGCCTGAAGTGTCTCAGGTATGACAGGACACATGTTGCTAGTGTTTGGGGCAAAAAAACACCCTGATTTGTCATGTACCTTTTGACGCTTTACTTTGAAAGTATTAACTTTGTTGTTGTATTTTTAGGGATGGCTTTCAAAGTAAATGTTCACTAAATTTTATTCAGCAAATAATTTCTAATAAGACGTTATATCGTACATGAATTTTTTTCTATACTTTTTTCCTATTACTTTTTTCAGCAAAAAAAAAATTACAAAGTTTACAGCCACTGAAATCCTCTTCCTGACTGAACTTTTATCCATAACAATACCTTTGTGAATATATATCCTCATTATTAATTTTGTAAATTAAAGGTCAATGTCAATTGAATGAAAGGGAGTTGAACGAATGCAGAGAAAATTTAAGTTATTGTTTCAAGTTCTTAATAACAAAGCATTTTAAATAAATGTTTATTTTTAGTTAACAATAATTACATTCAGGGAATATGTCTGGCACAAAGGAAGATCATTTATTAGAAAAATAAATGAAAAAATTCTGAATGAAGTTAGAATATATGTAAGTTCTACAAACATAAGTAAATGTACTGCCTGGTTTTTTTGAATTCACCCTAACTATATAGGAACCTCAGGTTATTCCCTTACCACTTTCCTGTCCCTAAAGAAAATCTATAACTTCTTACCCAAGGCTTCTGCTCATGCTCTCACACTTGGCAGAATGCCCATTATCCACACGCTTACTGTAGCTTCTGGCCCTGACTGCTAGTCTCTAAGGAGCTATTTGAATACTTTGCTTATGGTTCCTTCACAATGAAAAGAAAATCAAAAGAGGTAAAAGGAGAAGAAAAAAGCCCCACTCTTAATTCCCTGCTTATATGCTCTCCTTTGAGAATCTGGTTTAACCATGATGGTATCAATATCATTGGTTTGCTACCAGGAAAACTCAAGAGTACAGCCATGGGTCTGGCACATACAAACGAACAGATTCAAAAGATGGTTTTCTTTTTCCTTCATGCCTCAAAACCACCTTCTTAACATTGATAGCTGGTGCTAATCATCTGCCCAAACCAAAACAAACCAAAAGCCGAAACAACAGCTAAAGGCCTGATAAAATCATACATTCTTCCTGCGTCTTTAAGCATCCTAAGCAGAATGTGAGTGTGAACTGCAATGTTGAAATATGTGAGTCATTTTCAACCATCCTCATCTTCCCAAGTG